CGGCAAGCACAAAGAGACAGTTGGCGTGCCTACTGCGGAGAAATAAACACAATTTCTTCTGCGGCAAGGATATGCAAAGTTCTCTCCAAAGAACCGGGAAGAGGAGTGGGCGTGCTGTCTCTGTCAGATGGTCGATAAACCACAACGGCAGAGGAAACATTGCAGCACCTCATCTCCACACACTTTCCGGATTCAGAAATATCCAACGAACCACCTTTGAGGACGAGCCCAGTGAGAAGAACTCACATGGACTATCAAACGGCGTCAAAGGTGGTTACATACGAGAAGGTGAGATGGGCTGTAAAGACATTCGCACCATTTAAATCACCAGGGGAAGATGGAATATTTCCGGCCCTCCTACAAGAGGGACTGGACACCATCATTTCCCTGCTTATGAAGATATTTCGGTCCTGTCTGGCTCTGGGCCACATACCAGTGGAATGGAGATCGGTTAGGATCGTATTTATCCCGAAACCAGGGAAAACAGATTATTCCGATGCCAAAGCGTATAGACCCATCAGCCTCACGTCTTTCCTCATGAAAACACTGGAGAGGCTGATAGATCGATACATCAGAGATGTGCCACTGCAAATAAACCCGCTGCATGCACAACAATATGCCTATCAGACTGGGAAGTCCACAGATGCGGCTCTCCATCATCTTGTCCATAAGATAGATGGAGTGCTAGCTGGTGGACGCTCAGCCATGGGAGTCTTTCTAGACATAGAAGGAGCATTTGACAATACGTCATTTGAATCGATATGCCAAGCCGCGGATAGACATGGGGTCCATCAAACCTTGACCAGGTGGATTAGGGCCATGCTATCGCAGCGAGTGGTAAAAGCAGAACTATGTGGGAGGTCGGTTGCTGCCAAGGTATCAAGAGGATGTCCTCAAGGAGGGGTTTTATCACCACTACTATGGTGCCTGGTAGTAGACGAGCTCCTCATAGATTTGAATAGGCCAGGGCTATATGCGCAAGCATATGCAGATGACTTGGTAATAATGGCCCAAAATCAATCGGCGAACCGGCTAGGGAATCCAATAATGGAAGCCCTCAATAAAGTGGAACAGTGGTGTTCCACCAGTGGATTGAGAGTCAATCCAGAAAAGGCGAACTTGGTATTATTCACTAAGAAACGCAAAATAGGAACACTTCCTGAGATATTTCTCTCGGGAAAGTGTCTCCAATATAAAAGCTCATCAAAGTACCTTGGAGTTATAATAGACTCCAAGCTCACTTGGAATGAGCACATTGCAAACCGCACTAAGAAGGCTGTATGCTGCTTCTGGGCATGCAGACGAGCCTTTGGAAAAACATGGGGTCTCACACCCAAGACCCTTCACTGGATATACACGGCAGTAATACGCCCAACACTTACGTACGGGTCCATTGTATGGTGGACCAGTACCAATAAGGGCAAGACCAACAGAGAACTGGATAAAGTCCAGCGACTGGCCTGCCTGGGAATAACAGGTGCTTTGAGAACGACGCCTACCAGGGCTCTTGAAGTTCTGTTAGGTCTGCCGCCTCTACACCTGTTCATACAATACGAAGCCATGAGAACTGCTTACCGACTCAACGGTGCAAACCAGTGGGTCGGAACAGAAGCAGATCATGGACACTCCCTCATATGGAATAAGGCAAAGGAAAACTGTCCCATCCTCATGATGAGAAGGGATAATACCTTGCCAATTCTGAATTTCAACAAAGCCCCAAACACTGTCATCCCTACGAGGGAAGAATGGAATGACACAACACCTGGCGTGCCTCCTCCCAATGAGTCAATCTGGTACACGGATGGCTCAAGATTTGAGGGCGGTTCAGGTGCAGGGGTATACAATGAAGAAACAGGTAAAGAAATTTCAGTTCCTTTGGGCGAATATGCCTCAGTGTTCCAGGCAGAAGTACTTGCAATACTCACCTGCGTCCAAGAAAACCTAATTATGAGAGGTCGTAGACCAATCACTATATGCTCGGACAGCAAAGCTGCAATACTGGCTTTGCAATCCAATAGGATCACATCCAAATTGGTGTCCGAGTGCAGAAAAGCCTTGGAAAACCTGGCAAAATCAAGAAAAGTCAGCCTCATGTGGGTCCCGGGACATTCGGGAATACCCGGAAACGAGGAGGCAGACAGACTGGCAAAGATCGGTTCCGGACGGACCGCGGTCGGACCGGAACCAATTTTGGGAATACCAAATAGCCTGGCAATGTCCTCTATAGAGGAACAGCTGCGAAAGCAATTCCTCAAAATATGGCAGGACACACCAGGAATGAGACAATCGAAGCTCCACATAAAGGAACCTTCGAAGAGGCTCGCAAAAGAGGTTTTATTCCTAAACAGGCGAAACCTTAAAATGGTAGTAGGGCTCCTAACGGGGCACAACCACCTCAATAGGCACCTAGAGCTTATTGGGATCAAGGATGACCCCCTTTGCAGATGGTGCCTGGAAGATGACGAAACGTCATCACATGTCCTCACTGAGTGTCCAGCACTGACGCATCAGAGGAGGGCTGTCCTTGGCCACATAATTTTGAGGCCAGAGGACGTAAAAGAGATTCAGCTGAGGAAGCTGCTGAACTTCTCCAAGGCAGTCGGCATACCCAGCTGAATGTCGTAACATGTGGGCGCACAATGGGCCCGAATAAGGAGGCCCACGTGCAGGGGATTCACCCGCCCACCAGTGCTTCGAAGAAGAAGAAGAAGAAGCATGCCACTCAGAAAATAATCCTTTATTATAATCAGTATAATTTCTTGAGACGTTTAGTAAATCTCCATCATTGTCCATTTCCGTATTGAGTCGTGGTAATAATATGAGCAGTCAAAGCGAGCAGAGCACTATTGATGCACTCTAGCACAACAAGCAGCTTGGCACATTCATCACTCACTTCTCACTTTTCCTGGATTTGAATAATGAAGAAAAATCCAATATATTGGATTTTTTTTCCAATATATTGGATTTGTTTTTCAATAGATTAGATTTTTTTTCAATATATTGGATTTTTTTTCAATATATTGGATTTTTTTTTAATATATTAGATTTTTTTTTCCAATATATTAGAAAATCACATCCATATAAAATATTTTCGGTTGAGAATACACTATTTGTATATCATATATATTAATTACCGATTATTTTTTTATTGCAATGTGCCAAATATAGATTGTTTCTATCCAGGAGAATTATTTGATGAAAACATCCAATTATCAACTCTAAATATCTAGATTCATTATTTATTCCAATACAAAAGTTGTATGCCAATAGATGCTCTTTTTTTCATTGATTTCATATAAAGGGCGAGTAGACTTATGAAAATTTTTGCAACACTTCTCATTTTTTTTATGTCAATAATGAGTGTACGCGTTGTTCGAAATTGTTGAATTTCGGACCTCATGGCCATACCATTTGACGATACGTCGAATGAATGGTGATGATGTCAGCTTTAATGCTGTCTCCATATTGGTCAGATAATCTTCCATTCCCACTCACGTAGCAAGGTTGTCAAGTCACCCATTATAATCGAGTTATCAAAAAGATGTAAGGGAGTCCTGTCGTTGAATAAAACATAATAGGAGGAACCCATGATATTATAGTTCATTCTTGACTTCTCCGAGCAACCAGCATGTCCAAATATTTTCAATACTCCATAACAAAGTATCGTGTAAATGTTGAAGAGTTGGCAACATTGTGCTGAATGCTGAGAAGAGATAACACCACACCCACAAGTCGTGCGTGCCGTGTTGTCACGTTCACCGCTTCAAATGTCCTCTAGTGTGAATTAATATAATTACTATTGACACAAATGTATTACAAGAAATAAGCAATATTTTGAGACAATTGATTTTTTATAGCTAAATAGTAAAATTACCAATACATAATTGAGAATTTATGAATGTTTGAATAACTGATATTTGTGAAGTTCCCAATCGTATTTCAACACTTGGCAACTGTGCTATGGTCTGCCCCTACTCACGAAATCGTGACGTCAGTTTCCACTCACGGTAAATTTCTATCTGTTTGGAAATCACATTATTGATGATTTTAGCACCTGAAAATCGACAGAAAAACGAAAAAAAAAAAATGAAATTGAAAGGTATTCGAGTGTTGATTCATTTTGAGAGATTAAAAAAATAGTCCACTCGCCTATTATTTGATAATCAATTGAACTATATACCTACCGTCTATAGGTAACGATAAATTGCTGCAACAAAAATATGAATGCTGTCATGAAGTAAGAGAAGAACTGAAGTGAACTGTGTGGATGGAGGAAAGTGAGAGAATTGAACTTCAGAAATAGCAAGTTTAATGATAGACAAGAAATGAAAATATACCTCACATTAGGAGTACTCATCGGTTATTTTAAATGAAATGACTCCAACATTTCAAATCAAAATATCACTCCTAAATGTCTCGGTCATTCCCAGTTTTTGCACACTTCTGATCATTAGTGTTTCAAAACTCCACTCGATCACAACTCAGAATCAGAACTCACAACCGTATTCAACAAGAGAAATTCACGACGCATGAGTTCACAGATCGAATGGATCGACTCAATTCATATAAGTGTCACGAGATGCTCGCGGATTGTGCCAATTTGCCGGAAAAATTCTTGTTCGTTTGTACTCGAGACACATTAACATACATACATACATATAAGAGTATTTTGATAACAAGTTACGGTTTTATGATTAAAATTCACTCGTCTGCGTTAATCATCATAGGTTGAGACATTATTATCATTACAAGAAGACCAATGAAGTTAATTTATATACTCCTAATAAAACGTCTAGGGTTATGACAACTAAGTAGTCGTTGGCGTTATTTTTATACGTAACATGAGTTAATATGATTAGAAATTGAATAACATTCATCAACTGAGACATAACAAGAAAATTTAATGAGTGCTTTTTCCTCAGTGTAGTTGAATAGTTGAAATATTTCCAATCAAATCAGTGATGAGACAACCTGTTTATTTACTAACTGAAAATGCTTACGTTTACAACTCGAAATGTTTTGCATAAATTGAGTCCGGTCCAAACATTATTCTCATGCGGTATTTGATATCTTTTGCATTTTCGAATGGCAGATCTTTCACCATCGAATGCAGCTAGCATTATCCAGTAACAATTGGAAGCTGATGGTGGCTGAGTTTCATCATCACACAAAAAAATGTTTCCATCCTGTTTTCCACGTACAGATAGTGGTATCGTGAAAGAAGAACCATTTCTTATGGAAAAGTCCATTGGATAAAAATCGAGTTCTGATTTGTTTCCATTGGCAGGAACAGTTATGGTTAACAGTAAATCTGAAAAATAGCAAGTTAATTGCGATATCATGCCACATTCATTTATTTCTTCAAATTGTATTGTTGAATTCTGAAGGCGGGTCCAACTAGGTGGAAAATCCAAAGCGGATTTGAAAGTCAACTATAATTATACGCCAAGGTTTCCATTGCCAGCTTCTTATCAGCTACAATTTTTTGGGATTTTTTATGCTACCTGAAAATGATTTGTCATCATCCACAGTTGGTAACACTATAGTATTACCTTGAAATAATGTTGGACTGGATATTTTAATTGACGAAATCCAGAATCAGAATCCCAGATATAGAATTTTAAAATCATGTAAGAATAAGAGGTATGAATAGTTATTGAATACTCATATCTATTCCTGAGATTATTAAATCATAATTATATTTTGGGGTTGAAATTTTAGTGTATTCCGCAAAAAGTTCAAACTACGTCAACTTATTTGCATATCTGCAAAGAAATTGGCGGTAAAATCTTTCAGTTTCGAGTCATCCATAGAATTGTGACACGGAAGATCAGCTTCGGATTTCCTGCCTAGTGGAAACCCGCCTTGAGTATGGTTGATAATTGGGCATCATTTGAAGGTTACTTAGTAGGTTATTAGTATGTAACAACCAACCAATTATGTGTCGTTCTTGTTACCTACTATCATTATCCACATATCAATGAATATTGTCAAATAAATTATAATGCTGTACCGGGGGCCAAGGAAATCATAGTCCAGGGCTCCAATATTTGGATCGAAAATATAGTTTCTTGAAACTCATATCTTTTATTGAGAAACAATTGAATATCAGTTCCTAGATCGACAATGGAACACTATACTTTTCTTCACGACATTCCATAGCGCAAAATAGGTATTTATGTACCAAAGACGAAACACTATCTATTTTAGTCGAGTCTGCAAATTGATAGCCGAGGCTAGCGATCAGGCGAGACAATTGACAGTTTTCCGCCGAGGTGCATATTTCATTTATTCGTCGACCTCAAACACTGATATTCACGTCACGGTCCTATTCTCACCACACGTGAAATGTCTCTACTTTCTCCAAATTTGATTCTGTATATTTAAAATTTGAAAATGGAAATTATTATTATTATCATTATTAAAACTCTCCGCGCGGACCAAGGATGCCAGTTCGATTTTTATTCCATCACTAAATACCTTGTCAAAAATTCAGTAGATTTAGATAGATCTGATAATGAAATGAACCTATATGACGATAAAACATAATGTACTCTTGGTAAACAGAAGAGTAATCTATCTCCAACAAAATAGAAACAAACAAAGCAAACATTCTCATACAAAATGATCATATTCCTTATTTTGAATTCTAAAATACAAAACGAATGAAAACATTAAACGTAGGAAACAAATCTTTATAACGAAGGTGTATATACAGGGTGTTTCAGTTCTTTGTAGCAGGATTTTAACAGCTTGAAGAAGAAATTTTTTCAAGATGAAAATCTCAAACAAAGTTTCAGATTTTTTTTATGTTTTTGAATTCAATTGAACCAATTTCCAAGTTAGAGTTGAAAGGGTAACTTTTGTTTTTCCCTGTATATTGATCAAGCTATCAGATTCTCTTGAGTCCTTATATTGTTTTTGTTGTTCTAAAATTGTTCTTATAAATGTGGGAATCGAATCCACCTACCGGTAATCCAACGTGGATAGAACATTGACGCTTTAACCACGAGGCTACGCTGGCCAGATATACAGGCTAACTTTCCGAAACATGAATTCACGCTTTGGTAGAAATTCCATGAAAATCGGAAAAGAATTAAATAAGTTACAGGTCGAACAATTTGGCCTAATTTTTTGGTGGCCGGATTTTTTTGCCGGTGAGTGTATTTGATAGTTATTTCGAATGAAAATCTCTCTCTTGAATTTGTTTCAAAATTTTCAATTTCAAATGGTACTTATCATGATTACCATTGAAGTATAGGGACTTAGATCTCCTGATTTCAATTTTTAAATATTTGTCTATTGTTTCATCGTTATTTATTTGTGTATCTCGAAATTTAAATTAACATTTCTTCACCGACTTTCTGAGAAGGCGGATTAGCATAATCACTATCGTTAAACATCAATCTTTCGTCGGAGAATCATATCAAAACTAATTGATGGTGCTCGCGGACTTTGACGACAAATAGGCAATAGGATTAAGATAAATAATATACTCACAGTTCTTTTCAAATCAAGTAGGTACCTGATTCAGGTACATGATCTATTTCAACAAACAATCTAATAACCTTGTGTCTGTCATGAACGAGATGCATATTTCGTTTTCATTTTCATTTGTGATACGGGCAATTAGATCCACAGTTATTTGAACCCGCCGTTCATTTCTTGTGCCTTCGTGACACAGACATATTTGAATCCACCGTTATTTTGAGTCCGTCGCTCATTCCTAGGACCCTCGCGACACAAGCATTTATTTCCACGGCTATTTGAGTCCGTCGCTTCCCTAACAGCACCAGTACATCCTAGGGACTTCCCATGGACGTCCCTGATTTTATACTAGGACATCCCAGGGATGTCCTTTGTCGGGACAACGTACATACTAGGGATGTCCCAGGGACATCCGCTGGCCGCTAAAAGAGGCATCCAAGGGATGTCCTACTGGTACGTCCCTGGGATGTACCAAGTACGATGAAAGGATATCCCTAGGACGTCCCAAGGATATCCCAGGGACATTCTTTCGACAAAAGAAAAAAAGTTGCAGGTCGAGTAGGGATTGAACCCGGGACCTTTGGCTTATCATGCACGCACCTTGCTCCATTGGCTATCATGCCTCCTGAAGATTTATGTACTAAACATATTTACAAACAGGACTTAACTACAGAAACCTGAATAAATACAACTTTATTAGGAATTGGGTATAATTATTATCATTCTTGGGTGTTTAAAAATGAGGGGCATTATATGCATGTACGATTTCTGTCTGCGAAAAATGGTAATTTCTTAAGAAGTTCTGACACTTTATTCTTTATTTTCATTACAATCATTTTCCGGAAGAGAAACCGATATTTTCAAAAAAATTCAACTCAATAGTTTGATGAAATTCAATGACTCTGATGTGAATGGATATCAGATACTCCAGGGACACGAATAGGATAACCTAGGGATGTACCGGGCGGGATGTCCACTGGACAACCACTGCAGGACATCCCCTGGATGTCCCAATCATGTCCTTGTACCGCGGGACAAAAAAGGGACGTACCTAGGACATCCCTGTGTTGTTAGTGTTGTACCACCGAACATCAAATAAAGATCTTTAGTTGATGATCGGTGCTACTCAGTGCTCACCTTCGCGACACGGACTGTCAAATCGATCGTTATTTGACACCGTTGCTCAATCTAATTTCTCTCACTATATGGTTGATCATTTATCAACTAATTCAGTAACATAAAGTTAGAATACGATATCTTTACGTTAACGATACATTGGCCAACGACATTATAAACGATGAATCCTAGTTGCTGATTCAATATTGATGTCGTTAGAGAAAAATCTAGGGTTATTAATGGATTTGGTGAATGTTGGTGGCTTAAAATGCGTGAAACGTTTGTCTGTTCTCGAAACTTTTTTGTTCGCTTCGTTCAACGTTTCAGGAAACAAGAGAATATTTCCCCGCTTTTTTATTCAACCAATATATTTAGCAAATTAGCACATCTCGTTTGGTAACTGGTAACTCGAATAGGTTTTTACTTGTCGTTGATCACTTGTAGATATTCCTTGCTCTCTTTGTTGTTGCCTAAATTCAAAGATCTATTATAATAATATCATCCCAGAATGTTATTTCAAAAATTTATTCACATGTAGGTATGTGAATCTAGTAGAAATAATGAAGATTTTACCTGCGTCCTATATATTTTCTTCAACTATCTCTACCAGTGCTCCCTTGCTATTTGTTATTATTTTAATAATCAGCAAAAAAACCCATATCGATCCACCATTATTCATATCATACATTTTCATATAATATGATATGTCATCTTCAGCTAACGACAATATGATGAACAGGTACTATAATCTTTAGTGACTCATACAACATCTATGGAACACCCTGTATATCAGCACGACCCGTCATTTGGAACTAGAAGATACGTAAACAACCAGTGGCCTGACAATGAGAATCACAGAGAATTTAATATTCTTTCATATCATCTGGCTTGGAATATTTGCGTACGTCACGTGGTCAATGATATATTCAGAAATGAGATTGTATGACAAGATATCGAGATTATTTATTTGTAAAAGTTACTTATTCTAATTCTATAATATACCTTCCCAACGTCTGTCAGTCACATATTCATTGACAGGGCTATCCAGTGAAGTTATTGAGTTCCACTTTGTATTACTGGTCCAGGAATTTCGACAATCTCCATCAAAATCGCATGCAAAATGATATGGATCTGATGTTGGTGGGTAGAACGATGACCCTAGAATAAGAATGTATTGAAGAATTTAATGAAAAACCTTAAGCAATTATATTCTGAAATCAGAATGTGATGAAAAAATACCATGAGAGAGTGGAATTCTTTTTACTGTTAACTCCACCAGTATGATACGCTCCTGATCAAAATTTCGAAATTCACGGTTTCAGAAATATTGAGGAAAAATTGTCCTATTCAGAGTGCACTATTTGAAGGGCCGTGTAGCTCCTAAAAATACTTTTTTTCATTAAAAATACACCAGGAATCACCCCACGAATATTCTACCGATGTTTAGAAAACACTATGTACAATCCATTCATTAAAATGTTCAATTTCATTGAAACCTAAAACTAAACAATTATTTCATATCATTTTCGAAAGAGAAAATATCTGTATGGTCTCTTGAAGTGGTAATAATATGAGTATCTAACAAATGAGTCTCATAAAAAGTGGGCAACAAAACTATAGATTGAATGTTCCATTTTTCACTATAAGAATCAAAAAGGCATTTGAAAAAATAAGTTTCCGTTATTCCACCCAAAAGTTGTCAGCAAAATAAGGAATGTGTCATGAATGAAATTGAAATTCAAATTCAAGATGAGGAAATTCTCAAAAACTAATGACCATTCCCCAGAGAGAAGTTATGATGAATTGAACAAGTCACTATAAGGACGAAGTGCCCTCCATCAAAAACAGTCTAAAAAAATTTATGAAAGAGAATACCTCAGTCGAGACCTCAGTATTCCTTCTTTTCATGAGTTCGACGCTGCATCTCTGATGGTATAAAAATTTAGGCAGCATCATTCAGGAACTGTCTAGCATAGAAAGCATTGAAATATAATATAAAATTGACACAAATTCAATATTTCATTACTCCATCTGTAACTACTACTACTACCTGAAACTTGTACCTACTTATTAAACAAATAATAAGGAACATGAAATGTTGACTCATACTTATCTAACTTCTAACTTCAATTCTAAGTTCATTGAATAATAAAATACTTGGAAAACTCACTTGGGCTGTCATAATGGCTCGTTCGATTTGGCCATTGGTTGAAAACAATGGCAGATGATCTGTTGGTAATACAGTGATTATTTCCCAAGATGAAAAATCCCTCTTCTTTTGATAAACCACATCTTATCAACAATATCGGAATAATACTGGAAAATAAAGAATTATCCAAATGGAATGAAACAGTTTCCTTATGAGATTGTAGGAAATTATTGTCAACTATAATATCAGAGTGATATGCCATCAGAATTTGACCAGTATACAAAAATCGTTTTTTCTGTGACGGTAGAAATGTTCGACATTTCTTCTCTGTTTTGACAGGGTAAAAAGTGAGTAATTTCTTCCCGGATATATAGGTGCAGTGTTGATGGCTTTTGTTGTGCCAGTTCCGAAAAATAAGCCAATAACACCGTCTTCGAGGAAGAAGTGAAAGTCCTTTTTATCTTCCATTCCACTTCGCGGTTACGTAAATTACTAAACAAAAACACTATATGTTCCCAATTTTTTGATATCAAATCACAGAATTATACCGACAGATATTTCTTGACTACATCGAAGGAATGATAAAGATGCCTGCATCGCAGGTGTAAATCCTATTAAAAATTTCAAATTTCCCGTCGATGATTCTCTGATTTCAATATAATGTAATATCTTCTCAATATTGATTCGTCCTTTTTCCTGAGACAGAAAAAAATAGTGTATTATAGTAGGGAAGCCCAATCGGAGATTTCGGGATTAACATAAGGGGGGTATCCTTGGACATTGTGAAGTACTCCCACCTTACCTGGGCCCTTTATATGGTGTCGAAAGTTTAGGGCAGCCTATCAGATAAGTAAAAAAAAATCGATCGTCCGAAATACTCGAGACCGTCAGATTGAGACATGGTACGTTAATTACGTGCAGAAAAGTATGCATTTCAATAATCCGACGAATTGAGCGTGACATAGGGAAATGGGAGAGCCACAAAGTTGCAGAAAAAATCTTCACCTGTACATTCTCAAGCGCGGTTGATCTTCTTCTTATTTTGAAGGCAATTAGTCTCGGATCACGGAAATAACATAATCTGCCGATTTACACAAGCCGAAGTAGCGAAAATCATCAACTTAAGTGTGGTGCTTCCAGCCACTGGGAACTATAAACACGGGGACATGTGGACCGTTTCGACCAATAATGAGTACGTTTGATAGAAGAAATTCCGAAAGTTGAAAAATCTCGATTTTTTGCACCCTATTGCCTCTGTGATGATTTCTCTCAAAACCAAAGTGTGATATAGATCGTTGAGATCAGCTCATAAGGCGGAATCTGAAAATGCAATAAAATACAACGTGTGCTATAAGAAAAAGTATAACTTTGATACGCCACGCATTTTCGAGTAACACTGTATAACACAAAATATTCCAGAAATGTATTGCTCATGAAACTAGATCATCTCAAGAATATTTGTTCATCTATCTCAAACAGCAAAGCCGTTATTTCACTCTACCACACTATTGGTCTACCCTGTAAGTGTACATGAGCCTTCTATCTCAAAATTGTGAATTTTTCGAGCTGTTGAAGTCTTGCTTCAAAAAACTGACCCCTCCTGTATATTTTATATGTTAGTTATTACATTCAGTTAACAAAAAACATCCAACCGTCAGATTGAGGTAATTGCTCTACATAATTGTCAGATTACGGGTCCATACGACCTCAACATGAAAAGTCTGTATGATAAACTGACGCACTCAAGTATTTCGAGGTCACGATTTTTTTTTTTATTTTCAAAAATTGATCATGACTTGTGGTCGCGTCCAAATCGTCAGTGTTTTGAATAGGAGCTACTTGAGGGTTCACTCAACGTCCCTCCTCATTATCTGACGCGCCGGAATGAATTTATTCTATATCTTTTGGTTATCAGAAACACGTGGGGGTGCATACACTATTAATATACATGATGCACTCGAGTATTTGTATGTGACAGTTATTTATATTTTTCAACACCTGTTACACTAGTGTACACGCTCTCCCTACCAGTGTAAGGTCATATATCATATGAACTTTTTTTCATTTCCGCATCTAATCTTCACAATATGATACGTCCCCGTGACGCTCGAGTAAATCCCTATTCTGCCTCTTTGCCTCCCCTACTATTATACACAGGAAAAATATGAGATTTCAGTTCGCGTCAAGAGACAACAGAACCTCGTGCTGTAATCTACTACCATTTGCCCTTGTGTAATAAATTACTATTATTGGTATAAACAACCGTATAAACCTCGGTATGAACGTATAATTGCGGATTATACCGAATTTTGTTGCTGCTGATTGTGCTACAAAATAGGGCTGTGCGATATTGAAAATTGGATATCGATATCAATTTTCGCTTTGATATCGATATTTATCGATATATCGATATATCGATACATATCGATACATATCGAAACACATAGATACATATGATATATTCATATAGTATATCGATACATATGATTCATTCACTGATAAAAATACCCGATTGGTGACAAAAGAATGATGCTTTTAGATTTTTTTCTCTCCTGACAAAGACAATTTCTTCCTTTCAAATACATTGCTCTCATCTGCAGATTATTGCTGTTTTTGTAATAAGGTTTTGAATCTTTTGGGTGTAAACGCTTTTGAGAGAACATCATCGACCTTGTCTCTAGTCCTGCTTGGTTTGCATCTACCTCAAGATCACAAGACTTTTATACAAGATCTGAAATCGTTCGGTTGAGACCGTTGATGAGATCGAGTCCACCCGAGGTTAACCGAAAACATACCGACTCCGTTTGAGTCATGCGCAATGCATGGGTCGACCCCATCTTTTCATCATCCTTCTTCTTCTCCATCGTGCCGAGTACCGTCCCGTTGACAATGCATTTTAGCGGCCATATCTGTCGTGTTGCGTTGTGCTGTGGATGATGAGCGATTCAGTAGAGTTTGAAAAACTTCTAGATGCGTGGCGTTTGAGCCATATGATGCAAACATTTCAAGGTAAGTACCCACCTATACTTATTTCAGTGGATAGGTATTTCATCATCATATGAAATGTTTCATGTGTTATTTTATAAAATAAACGAGTTTTTTATCAATGGTTGTTTTTTCAGGATTTCCACAATTCTTCGCCCAAGGATAAATAAGAAGCTAAAACAAGTTGATGGGATATTTTAATTTTCAAGTATATTTCAACCAATGCAAAACGTTTTTTCGTCAGAACATCAGAACTGAATCTAATATCAACAAACCAATAATGGGGTTTTGTTGAGGATTCATAATAACATGATCCTCAAAATTTGTATAGAAATCAATTGAAATTCTAATTATTATTTCAACATTTTACAGGATTATCCTCTCAACAAATATCCAGAGAACTTGCATCAAGATCATATACATTTTGTTCCAAGACCATGAGATATTGGATCAAACATTTGCTGTATTTACAGCGAAACCCTATATTTCAATACAATAATACCATATCTTTCATCTTAAATCTCATAACTTTGAAATGATATCTTAATAATTTTGACCAAAAATCATTGTTCCTTATGAAAAGTTCAGGGTTTTTTGCTATAAACTCATACATCATTGGGCTAAAGAAATCATGGCAATTACCTCAACATTCTCCAAAAGTTGGGAAAACTACGATTTTAAGCCAAAAGCATTAGTTATTAGGGCAAAACCAGAGTTTCTTGCCTCGAATTTATATAATTTCATGCTAAAGAAACTAAGGCGCTTGCCTCAAATTTTTTGAAATATTGGGTCGAAATGTCCATGCATTCCGCCCTATTCAAATGCTTGGCGCCCTTGAGGTAAAGTCAAATTCCTTCAATCCAAGGAATCCTTTTTATCAGTGTTCACATATATCGATACATATAATATATTCATATATATCGTTACATAAAATATATTCATATATTATATCGAGTACCAGTGGTGTAACGTAGTAACGAAACTTCATTGTTGATGTGCTCAACATATAGAACATTTATATCAAATATCAAAATCAAAGTTCGAAGTCAAACGTTTCACCTTGAGCTCGACTTTAAGTTCCATAGGATGTGTGCCTATAGGAACTTCGAGGAAATAGCAGTATTATTCAGTGAACGTTTTCTAGAAGTCGTATCAAAATGTGCACTGCATAATATGTTTTTTCTGCAACCGACACAAAAGTCGTCCATTTTGATACCGAAATTAGCTCTTAAATTGACGTTTCTATTACTGACACAAAAATAGGTATGTTGCTAGGCAACATATTTAGTTCCTAGGAGCTAAAGTTGAATTTTAGTTCCTAGGAGCTAAAGTTGAACTTTGGCTCCTAGGAACTAAAAAGGATATACTGGACGTCATCAAGAATAAACAACATTGTGACGGTTTGTTATTTGGGTTGAGACGCATAAGTACCTGATTTGTTTCCGATTTCAGCAGATTTGGCATTTCATACCCATGCTGGAGATATGAATACACCTTATTATAGTTTAGTATTGGAATTATGAACATCTCAGTTAAGTATTTGCGTTTTGATCATGAAAGCCTCCAAGATTCAAATACTTGCTAGATCTGTATTTCATTCGTTATTCTCGGGATGGATAACTTGTTTTTGAATAATCACGGCAAGCAATAGTTTTTTGTCTCAAACAACGATATTTGTTCAGCTTCATTTGATTATCAAATCAAACACAGTGTAATATGGAGAGGAATAAATAATCACTATTATCATTGTTGATATGCTCACTAACCTAACATTTTCCACGTCTTGTTCCTATAGCTGGCACTGACGCGGTATTTGCCATTAGAGCATCTGGTCCACACACAAATATGTCACTCTGTGGTTGTATTTATATTGAAACTACAATTCGAACATCCTAGAAAACCTAACCTGCTGTTAATGCAGGTAGAACATTCTCACCACATGAATTATTTGTCAATATTTGTTGCTTTGCATACATATGGCACGGCATTGGTGGTTACTTCACACGTTTATTTGAGTTAATTGTTTCGGTTGCAGAAAAAATAGCATGTTCCATTCGGATCAAAAGTGACTTTGTTCGACTCGCAAATTTTGCTTTCGCTCGGCTTCGCTAAACGCTCCGCCTCGCAAATGCAAAATTCGCTTGTCAAACAAAGTGTCACTTTTGATCCTAATAAAACAATC